AGGACCCCAGGAAGATTAGTGGCCATTTATTTGGCAGCTAATGGGGATCCTAATAAAACTAAACTAAACTAAACTAAATTAAAGTAACTAACTAACTAGCGTACAGTGTGTAACAGTATTGACCTGAGTCCTTCAAAATAAAAGCTATGTCTCATCACACCTACGTATTTATGTCTGCATATGTGTGGAAACTTTAACCAATTCGTCCCGCACGCTCAGAACATCATCCTGATGCAGATCCATGGAGTCAGAACTGAACTGGGAAAAGAGGCTTTTAATTTCTACTCGCCATCAACCTGGAATGATGCTGTAAAGGAGTTAAATGAAGGGAATTCAAAAGTTTTATAAATGAAACAATAAAAACCAAAATTATATGTTGCGACTGCACTTTCTAAACTGTTAATGTCGCTTCAATGTATTCAGATCATGTGCAGTTCTAGATGGGGGCCATTAGGAGCCAGTGTGCCTGTAAAATTTTAAACACAGTTTAAAAAAAGAATGCAAAAAACAATCTGAAAAAGAAAAATTTGTAAAGAACATTTTAAACTGTAAAATATATGAAAGAAAATTGTTTGGAAAAGATAAGTTTGAAAATCTGGATATCTGTGAAATTTTGAAAAGATTTTCGAAAAGAATGCAATTTCTGAAACTCAATCTGAAAAAACTAATTTGAAAAGAAATCCAAAAATGGAAGAAAGATATATATATATATATATTTATTAATCTACCTTTTTTTTCTGGATTTTTTTTTCTCAAATTTGAAAAACGTTCTTTCAACAATAATGGACCAAAATTCACTCCATACTGCCTTGGCCAGGTCACTCATTTTAATCTCACATATTTCTTTCTTTTTACCCGTTAAATAAAGGAATCTATCACAGCAGAGTTGATTCATCTCTCCCTAACACTGGCTGCCTTTTCTCTGCTTTTTCTTCAGAGTCTCCCAGTCAGATACTTCAGAGAGATCACGACTTGCTCTCGGCTGCCTGCTTCTCATCTCATCACGTCCATGGAGCCCTGGGCTCTTTTCTTCCTCCAGGGAGGAGAGTGCATGTGGGCGAGACTGAGGGAGGGTAGAAACAGAGCAGGGAGGGGGGTTAGTGGACTGCTGCTGTTTCTGGATGTGGAGGGCTCCTACTACTGCTGTTAGTGAATAGATTTGAGTTCATTCTGGGTGTTGGGGTGTGTATGTGTGTGTGTGTGGGGGGGAAATTGTGGGAGGAGTCTCTCTGCTGTTATTTGTAAAGGCTTTTGATGGATGATTACTCTGGGTGTGTGAGATAGAGTAAGAGAGGGAGTCTCTCACTCTATCTCAGGAGTCCCCCCCCCCACTTCTTTTTCTTTTTCTAGTGGCTCACTGTTCACTGCACAATGACTCAATGAAAAGTGGAGGGGAGAGGGAAGTGCACTGTACAGCTGCAAGAGAGAGAGAGAGAGAGAAAGCAGAGAGGAGACACAGGGGAGGAGAAGAAAAGACACCAATTGGAGGAGCTGGAAATCTGGGGACAAGTAGAAGAAGAGAATCCACTTGTCCTTTTTCCCTCTCTTTATCTGTCTGAGATTCCTCTCTGGGATCAAGTGGCAATTGAACTGTGCTGAAAACATTTTCCTGCTCTTTCTGTCCACTTTCCAAAGAGAGCTGAAGTGTTGGTTTGGTGACAGGAGGAGGTAGATCTCATCTTTCAGCTGATAAACCTGGAGAGTCGTGGAGGACGGCAGGATGCCAGAAGGAGCCAGAGAGGATGGAGTCGGGTCAGCAGGCGGTGGGAGGCTGAGCCGGGGTCTGGCGTGGGTTGTCCTGGTGCTCCTGGTGGGTCAGGGAGCTGCTGGAGCGTGTCCCTCTCCCTGCAGCTGCCTGGGGAACACGGTGGACTGCCACGGCCGGGGGATCCACTCTGTCCCCAAAAACATCCCCAGAGGGACTGAGCGGCTGTAAGTAGTCCAACACACCTGCATTTCCTGAGCATCATGATCTCACCTAGACAGACAGGAGAGGGGAATCCTTCAAAGTGACGGCATTTCACTTAAAGAGGAAACATGTGAATTTATCATTTACTCACTGCCTTGGTTTTTAAGTTCTTAACCAGGGATTAATCCAACCTGCTATTAATAAAGTCTGGTTTAAAGTGTGTTTCTGAGCTGTCAATGAATCTGCAGCTGTAGATTGAATTAGCAGCATGACCCAGTTGCTGTGTAGTTATCTTAGTAAGTGAACACAGGACTAAATGGTTTCCTGCTCCCTCCTGACCAGTGATCTCTTTTAACTTGATTTCTCACAGACACTTTGATGCTTTCTGCAGCATCGCATCCTGCACTGAATCCTGGCTGCACTGACACATTTATCATGTTTTTTTTTGCTGCATCTTCACTTTTAATGGCATATTTTTGTTCTTTTTGTCACCATCACCTTTAAGATACTTGTTTTGCTCCTGCCTACGTTTCTCACACATTGATATACTAGAAAAACAAAAACAAATCAGTGCTAGACTATAACAGAATGAAATTGTGATT